GGCGCCATCTTTGTTAGTAATAAAAGCAGTGGTAGGGCAGGATGCACCAGATCGCGAGGCAAAGCCCTTCGGACGGGAGGAGTGCGGCTGGGAGCGTCCCGGCTCCCGCTGCCAGCGAGCGGGCCAACAGCCGCAGGCCTCGCAGGCGGCAGGACGAGCCCCGGCCCCGGCGACTTTGCGGCCCCAAACCCACAGCGGGAGAAGCGCACTGAGGATTTCAAGTCTCGAATCGAACAAGAAGATGAGAAAATGCCTCGAACTACGTATTTATTTTTCTCAAAAAAAAATGCCTGATGAAATTCCAGTTTTTCATTTGAAAGTACACCTTATTCATTCTCATTCCCGGAGCACGGCCCTAGGGTTGAAGAGAGCGAGCTGTATTCTTTTACTTTCAAAACAAGAGGACAAGATACCCGGAGGAAACCTGCTGTTGTTTCTCAACATAGTCTTACTCTCCCCCTGTGCCAGGCAGAGTGAGGTGGAAACACACACTAGTAAGGAACATATTTCTTATATATGGCAGTTCTCTTTATTGATTGCTTGATGTGAAACAGTATCAATCTGGACTTTTTTCCCCACACATTACAAAAAAAAATATTAAATTGGCTCAGTCTGCAATCCTTTAAGCACAGCCATATTAATTATCAGAAAATGGAAAAAAAAAAACCTAAAGTCTACCAAATAAAGAGCATTTACAAATGCACAAAAACAGGCCACTTTGGCTTTATGGGGAAAATATCCTCTTCTAGATTAAAAAAAAAAATCTTTTTAACATAAATAAGTTAGTATAATTTCTCAGTGTCTTTACAGAGTTATGTACACAGGTACACTTCAAACTTTTTATTTTTACATACAAGTACACAGGCAATGTAGAAATACTGTTTAAAGATGTAGTATCCCTTTTTGCTCACACACAAACACATTGGGAAGTGGGTCAGCTCAGGAAACAATATTCAGGATGCAGAGCAGAAACCCTCCAGATTAAAAAAAAAAAAAAAAATCAGGCAACGTAACAATGGGATGCATTTATAAAACTTTAACCAGCATTCAAATTTGCTATAGGGATTCGAGGGTGGGGGGGAAGGGAACAAAGCCTTTTACTATTACATAACGGAATCATCACAGCTCCCACCTCTTCAGCTTAATGTTAATACATACAAATTTCACAAGCAGCCTCTAATAATCTGCTATTACCAGTGTTAGCATGATGGTGCATTAAAAAATGAAAAAAAATAAAAAATAAGCATGGTGGACCCACTTAAAGGGACAATACATCTTTAAGTAATTAAAAAAAACCTACACTGCTTTTCTTCATACATTTCTTTGCTTGCTAGGTTGTGAAAGCAAGTTTCAGTCACTCTCTTCCACACCCTCCCCCTCCCTCCCAAAAAGGTTTATGTGCTACATAAGGTAAAAACTATATACACAGGTAGTACAATGAAGCAAATAAGGAAACACCTAATTGCACAATGCTACATCCAATGCTTTTAGAGGCAGGCCTTTTAAGAGTGCCTAAAATTTTAGTGTTATTTGTTTTCTGTTTGTTGATGTTGATGCTGTTTTTCTTCAGTGCTTGCACAGGATCTCCATCCCATGGAGACCGACGATATGTATTTTATTTATTTTTTCTCTCTACTCTCTCTCTTCTTTACTACAACTTTACACCTTCCTCGCTTCACCGAGGCCGCCGACGAACGAGGAAACGCCACCTTCCGAGCTCTGCAACGGAGACGGCAGGAGAAGACGACGTTAGAGGCGCCGCACAGAAACGCCATCCCTGCCCCAGAAACGCCATCCCCTCCCTTGCCCTTCCCTGCTCCCGGCGCGGCGGGTTCGGCCCGACGCCCCCTCCCCGGGCCGCGCTGCCCCCGCGCGGGGGAGCCGGCCCCGCTGCCGCCCCCGGGCCGCGCTGCCCCGTCGGGGCGGCCGGGCCGCCCTGCGGGGCCCGCGCTCGCGCGGCGCCTCTTCTTTCTGAGCTCCGGTGCATCTTGTGCCGCCGGAGTAAAAATAAATAAGGCGAGAACCCTCCTCTCGGCCGCGTTTAACCCCTTCTGTGCCCGCGCACCCCCAGCCCGCCCCGAAGCGGGCGGCGGGATTTGCTCGGGCGCGCACCGGGACGTGCCCGGCCGCCGCTCGCCCCAGCGCGACTAATTTGTTGCAACTTCTGCTTTACAGCTTCATCTGCCCAGCACAATCGCAAACCGCGTTTGCGAAGCTCGCTGCTAACTAACCCTCCTCCGCTGCGCAACGACCCGCGGGGTCGGGCCAGCTCCCTCCGCCCCGGCCCTCGCCTTGGAACAAAACAACAACAACAAAAACAGCTCCCGTTAACCCGCTCCCTTCCCCGCGAACGCGCCCTGCTGCCAGCGCCCGAGCCTGCATCAAAACAACTGGGGGGAGGAGGAAGAGGGAAAAAAAAAAAAAAAAAAAAAAAAGAGAGAAAAGGAAAAAAGAAAGTGGCTGCCTAGCTCGGCCTTAAGGAAAATGCCCCGATTCCCGCTCAACCCATCGTGTTTACTCGGCCCTCCCGGGGGGGCCGCTGGCCGCTCCGCGCGAGGACAATGCTGACATTGTCAGCTACGTGCAAAAGCATCAAAGGGGGGCGGAGGGGAGGCAGCCCCCCGCCCGCTTTGTCACCTGACATGACAAAAAAAAAAAAAAAAAAAAAAAAGTCGCGTTTGAAACTCGGCTCCCCGCCCGCCGCAGCGCGGGCCCGGGCCCCCCCTTATCCCGGTGGGAGCAGCAGCCCCGGGGACCCCGCGCCCCGCCGGCTTCCCTTCCTTTGCCTCCCTGCCACCCTAACGGCGGGTCCTAGGGGGCACCCACCTAAGCACGTTTACGTTTGATGTCTTCTCGGGCTGGATTTCTTGGGTGTTTGCTCCACTGAACTTGCACTGGGGGAGTCTTCTGAAACCTCTTCTTCTGTTGTGTTGGCTCTTTTATTTTGAGGAGAGGAATCTACGAGGGGAAAATTAAAAATAAACGGGAGGAGAAGGCAAGGGGGGAAAGAGTGATATTAAAATGTTTTCCTGCCAGGTTTTGCCCGGAGAGATAGACGGGGCAAGCGGGAATATTCCCGGCTCCCCACGTCGGCTATCGATTACGTGCGAGAGGGCAGAGGGAGGGGGGAAGGGCTCCTCTTTAGCTACGAGACGCTTCCTGTTTTTATCCAAAACCCCCGTCCGTCCCGTCGCACGGGCGTTACGAAACCCCCGGGCCGCGAGCGGGGCCGCCGGCACCGGCCGCGCGGGGCTGGCGCTTCCAGGGCGCCCGCCGGCTCCCGGCAACGCCGGGAGCGCGGGGAAGGAAAGGGGGACACGGGAACGCCCTAAGGCAGCACCTGGAGGCTTTCTGAGGAGGTGGGGGAGGGCTGGGGGGCCGGGAGCGGAGCCCCCCGGGGCGGAGGGGCCGGGAGCCGCCCGCGGCCCGCACGCCAGCGCGAGGCTACGTTACCGTCGGTGGCGGGTCTTTTCCTCTGCGCAGGGCACTGCTCTGCAAAGTCCGTCTGATTTTCTGAAACACCAGTCTTTTGATCTACACAGTGAATGTCCTCTGAGATTCCCTGAGAACCAACAAAAATCACGGCCTGGCAATTCCCGTTTACATCCAAACTCTGGTGGCCGGCGGACTTGCAGACAGCTTTGAGTAGCCTCGGAGACCTGAAGTAGAAGTCGGGCGAGCTCCCCTTCTCCACGGCTTGCCACTCGTACCTGCCTTCCAGGGGCTTGTGATTCTGGAAATCGAAATTCCACTTCCTCTGGCATGCCTCCTCCATCTCCTTGCGGTGCTTCTTCAAGTCCCTGTTTAACTCTTCATGGTTCACGGGCCCGAAGAGGTTCCTGCAAGCTGAAGGCTTCGGGTACTCCGACTGCCTGGCTTCCATGCGCTCCAGGGTAGGGCTCCCATTAGAAATGCGTACGTTTGACATCTCCCCCCGCAGCCCTCTTTCTTCTGGCGACGGTTGTTTTTCTCGCTGCTCTCCCTCCCTCCTCCTCCTCCTCCTTCTCCTCCTCCTCTTCTTCTTCTTCTCCTCTGCCTTTCACTTCTCCGCGGCGAGGGCTGCCCTCGCGCTCCTCCTCGCCGCGCAGCCCCGCTCGGCGGCGCCGCCTCGGGCCCGCGCAGCACAGGCGGCCGCCAGCAATCGCATAAGCGCCGCGCCGGCCCGCGGGCGAGCGCGCAGCGGC